ATGCTGGTAGAAGAGCAGCAGAGAATTCACCTGCGAGGGGCCGAGGTAGGCAGGGGCTGACGTCGAGCAGTCTCGTGAGAGCTCGGAGGTCCCGACACAGAGAGGCCACAAAGGCAAAGGACGGCAGTGAAAACTGCTAGCCATCCTAGCAAGAGAGATTTTACTCTTGTTCTCTTTGCCTCCTTCTATGAAATTGTTCATACAATTCAGTACTTTGAGAAATTCTCTCAGCTGAAGACAGACAGCCTGATTAGAGTCCATCCTGTATTACACACCGAGGCCCTGTTCCAAACTGAATGACCTCGTCGAGTCCTTTCACCTCTTGAACTTACTGTAGCAACAGAAACCTTGTCAGTTCTGCCGGAGAGACTTGCCACGCGTGAATCGGGACAAGCCCGACGGGCCATCCCCGCACGGAAGGTGGCAGGAGCGAGCGGTTTGGGGGCGGGGACCACTTGTGAAACTGACGGCCACGTGCTGGTCTGTTGATGAACGGCGTGCCAGCTAGGTCAGATAGGTTGTATCTGAGAGCGAGGTAGTCGCTCCCAACAGCCCCTGGGTTTGGTGGCTGAGAAAGCCCTCCGTAGCTCTTCTTCCAAGAGACAATGGCAGAGACAGACCCTTGCTGTCACCACAGTGCCAGGCGCAGGGGATGGTGGTTTCCAGCCATCGGGGATATTTAGGAGCCGCTGCGTGTTGTCTCCTTTAACGTTAACACTCCTCCCGTGGAGTGTCTCAGCAGTTGTTTGTTATGATTGCTTTGGATAATCGTCTAATTGTCAGTGCTCATCACCCCAGGGCAACTTTGACGAGTTTCCCTTTCTTACTGAGAGATCAATCTGGTTCATTGTGAATAAATTTTTAAGGAAGGAAAGGCAAGTCTGACAGAGGACTTGGCTTATGTAAAGGTGTGTGTGTGTGTGTGTGTGTGTGTGTGTGTGTGTGTGTTTCTCTACCGAACGTCATTTTCCCCGTCGCACGGCTGGGTTGTGTGGGGTCATCTCTGAGCCAGCCTATTCTTGGTCCTTTCTGTGCCAGTATTTCAGACACACTCGTGTTATAGTTGGCATTGTTCTCCCATCCAGCAAAATAATTTAGCTCTCCAAAACCAAATCGGAGTCTATTTTCCACTCAATCAAAATCCACTGCCTATTATTTCACGCCCCGTGACTCCAAATCTCTCTCCCGGCTTTAAGTTTTGTTTCTGGTCCCTTTTTTGCTGCTAAACATGCACTCTACTTTGTCTCCTGCAACCAGGCTTCTCGCTTAGCTTGTACAGGGCTCTTCACTAACAGGCTCCAAACCCAGGCCGTCCACCCGCTCCCTCCACATGGAAAAGGAAGGTTGTAAGACTTGTACTAGGTAAGGGGTATTGAAGCTCCTTGGGAATAAGAGCCCAAAGCACGAACGTGAGGGGAGATAGTCATGACTAGCCATCACTTACTGAACCTCCTACCTTCACCTTCCAAATCAACTTTCTGCTCTTGAATCCTTGTCTCAGGATTCTGCTTCTGGGGGAACATATAGCATTCATCACCTCCAGTCCCAAATCTGCTTCTCTTCCTATTCCCAGGAGGTCTGTCCTCAGTGGCCACTCCCCCAATCCACCCCATCACCCAATTCAGAAAGCCAGGTGCCAGTTACCCTAACACCTCCTGTTTCCTCCATCACTGAGTCCTGTCAATTCTGCATCCTGAGTAGAACTTGACTCAAGTTCCTGCTCTTCATCTCTGCTGGTACTACCTTGATTCAAACCCTGATCATTGCCACAGCCTCTCACCTGGTCTCCCTGCTGCCAACCTCACTCCCTCCAATTGGCCCTTCACACCCACCAATAGAGTGAGCATTCCTCAACCCAAATCTTTCTTGGTCACCCCTTGCTTAAAGTCTTCATTGGCTCCCCATTGACTACAGGACAGACCAGGGACCTCAGTTGCCCCCTAGCCTCCTCCACCCCCACCCCTGCTATTCTTCACAGCCTCTACTCCAGTCTCACAGAATATTTGCAGCCTCCAGAATGTGCTTTGCCTCTGAGCTTTGGTGCTCGCTGTTCCTTTCATTTGTAATGTCTTTCCCTTACTTTGAAAAACTCCTATTTATTTCTCAGTGCTCAGCTCTTGTTACCATCTCTGTGTAGTCTTTTCTGACTGCTTTGCCCCATGCCATTCTCTGCCCTTTCCCAGCACAGGGCTAGCCCCACTCCTTTGGGGTTCACCTAGTCCCTATGATAACACCTCACGTAGCACATAGTGTCACATTGTATCATTAACAGTTCATTTATTGGCCTCTGAGCTCCTTGGGGTCAGCAACCATATGTTAACCATCTCTCTAACTATAGTCCTTAGCTCAGTGACTGGCATACAGCAGGTGCTTAATAGATGTTTACTGGATAAATAAAGGAATCATCCATCTGGCAAGTATGTGAAAACTAGATTATGAGGAGATGCTATATTAGAAAAGCAAGGTATAGGGTGCCTGGGTGGCTCAGTCGTTAAGCGTCTGCCTTCGGCTCAGGTCATGATCCCAGGGTCCTGGGATCGAGTCCCACATCGGGCTCCCTGCTCTGCGGGAAGCCTGCTTCTCCCTCTCCCACTCCCCCTGCTTGTGTTCCTGCTCTCGCTATGTCTCTCTCTGTCAAAAAAATAAATAAAATCTTTAAAAAAAAAAAAAGAAAGAAAAGCAAGGTATAGATCAAAGAATCAGATCTGAGATGGGAAGTTTCTTGAGTCCTTACTTAAAATGACCAAATATTAAAATCAGAGATCTCGAAAATCACCCTGAGCAGCCCTGGAAGATTTGGGGGGTTCTTTCCTGCTATTTGGGCATATCCTTTCTTCCCTCCATTTTCTTGGGCATCCCTTTAACTGTATGAATACAATTCTTCCATATTAATGTCTTATTTCTGTCCCCAGACATCTCCTCCCCTATCCAGACCTGCTCTATAATTATGGACTTCTCTTTTTTCCTTCTCTCTGCAAGGGCAGTCACAGTGAAAATACAGAAGGGTGCCACTATATACTTTTGTGGGACCATAATGCCTGTTTATTATGCATTAATCTGAATCAATATAGTCTTTCCTGAAAACATAAGCACCTCAAAGGGCAGCAAATATGAATCACAACTGCCAGCGAGGATCAAACATTAACCCAGGGTTGTGATGAGGCCAACAAAAGAAATAGGCTGGTAATTGCCTTCCAGGATATCAATCCCTACCTTATACACACATACCCCCTCAGCACACACAAAACCTTTATGGATCTTTCATCCATGAACTTGCCCAATTATAATTGCCCAGCTGTGTCTTTAGTTGTATTCAGGCTAGGTCCTGGCAACAGAGACCTCACAAACCTGATCCAAGGATTCAGAACATTTAGAGATCTCTAGAGGAAGTCTTTGGCTACTGAAATGGTTGAAGACACATCCACAGACAAATATTTCCACAGGTATCATTAATGACTCGAAGCTGATTTAAGACCCCAAGAACCTGACCAAAGCAAGTAGGAACTGGTACTTTCTGTTGATATTCATTATTATCAATTCTTAAACTTACATTGTGTGTCTTTCTGCCTCTATGTCAACTGAGTACTTCTTAATTTAACTGTTTGTTTTTTTTCCAAAAGAGGAAATTCAGTATCAAGGAATGGTACCACCAGGGCTTACTTCTTTCTTAGGAGCAGTAGGCAAAGTGCCTGGAGCCCACAGTACTTTTGGGAGCCCACCAAAATGTTTTCATTTCATTTAAAATCAAAAGAAAAATCGATCTTCTAGTTTGAAGAAGATGTATTAACATACAATATTAATACATTTGTCTTTACACCAATACAGTTGTAAAATACCACTTTTAGGTATTTTTTTAATGGAAGGGGGAATTCACAAAGGCAAAAGTGTCCACAAAAGTCATAATGTGGCCCTGATTTCTACCACATTACGCTTGCAACAGAACAAGGTTAGAATAGAACCTCTCAAGCACAAGTTCAGGTTCCCATACTAATTGTAAACTTGCCAGGCTGCTCTCTATGTCTTTCACACTGTGTGGCCACCCCAAATTCTACAAGAGGGAAGTCATGGTTACTAGTCACCATGTTGAGATGGAGCATTGATTGAACATGCAAAAGATAGCTAGATCCAGACTGCTCTCTGCTCTGATTAAAGTAACGTCAGCTCTGCCATTCTCTCTCAAATGTCTTCATCCTGTTTTGATTTCCAGAAAAAATATCTTTACATCTGTAGGGATTAATTAAACCAGTGCAGTTGCTTCCTTTGCTCTCTTAAAACATTTATAGGATTTAGGTTTTTTATTTTATTTTTAAACGATCAATAGTACTACTAATACCTGTTACTTATTTACTGGTTAGCAACCATATATTCCATCACCTCTGCAACTCCAGGTCTTAGCCCCAGTGTCTGGCAAACACCAAGTGCTTAAGAAATATGTTAGATAAATAAACAAATCACCTCTCAGGCAAGTTTGTGGAAATTAGATTATGTCCGTGGGCTCATTTTTGTCTTTAATAATCTCACACCTTGTGAGAAGGATCTTCTACCGGTATCACACTGGCATTTTAGGAGGTGATCACTAGTCCCTTGCCACCTCTCCCGCCTCCATCAGCCAGCCACTTCCTCTCTCCTGAGCTCTGTTCTCGCTCTTCTTCATCCTGGGGTCTGGAATGGTCCCCAGCCCGCCAGTTGGCAGCAGGATCCCCGCTCCGCCGGCCCTCCCCGATGTCCATCTCCCCTTCCTCTGGCCCGCGCCTCGCGCGCCCCTTCCTCCTGCCACCCTGCGCCGCCCACAGCCACGCCCTCCCCGTGGGCGAGATCACCTGTCCCTCCTCCGCCGCCGCCTCCACGGGTACCCTCTCGCCCCCCTCCTGCTCCCCCTCCTCCGCCACCTCCCCCAAGCCCTCCCCTTCCCCGCCTCCTCCCACCCCTTGGTGTATATAGTAAAGGCCGGGCGCCGCACGCAGACACACACTCGCCCGGACACAGGCGCACACACTCACGCACAACCGGCAGCGGCGGCGGCGGCGACAGCGGCTCGGTGACAGCGGCGACGGCGGCTCCCACCGCTGCGCACCCCCTTCAGGCGGCGGGCGGCGACACCAGACCGGAGAGTTCCCGCACCCGCGACCACCCCGTGGCTTCCTGGAGGCGGCGGCCGCGACTGCGAGGTAGCCACCGCGGTGCCCCAGTGCGGGCCGGGGTCCCTCCCGCGCGCCCTCCCCGTGCGGACCTGCCACCGGGACGGAGGGGGCGCGCCGGGCTGGGCGCGCCTGGCGGGGCCCGGCGCCCGGGGAGGGGCCTGCTTCCGTGGGCAGGACGGCGCCCGGAGGCCGGGGCCAGCTGGGAGGGCCGGGCGGGGGCGGGGACGCGGGCCGAGGCCGCCACCCGTGCGGCGTCCCCGGGCCCCGCTCCTGCTCCCGGCGCCGCGCACTGGCTGGCGGGGCCGGAGAGGCGGCGCCGGCCGGCGGGGCGGGGGCCCCGAAGTGGGTTTCGGGCCGCCACCAGCGCTGGCACCCGGCACAGAGGGCGGCGCGCGGCGCACTCCGCGCCTGGGCACCGCACCGGGCCGCCTCCGGCTTTGCCGCTCTGCCCCGGCCCGGAAAACCCAGCGCCTTCCAGGCCCTTCGAAAGATGGATTCTGTTGACGTATCTGGCGGCCCTGGCAAGCCGGGTGGAAAGTTGGGTTTTGCCAGATCGCGCTGGGCTTGTCTTTGTGACGCTCGGCCAGCCCCGCATCCCCCCGGAGCCGGGTGAGTGTGCGTCGGCGTCCTGGGAGCCTTCGTGCCCCCCAGTGCCCAGACCCGGGGTGGCCGCGCCAGCTCGGGCTTTCTGCCATGTTAGGCACCGAGCAGCGTCCTCACAGCATTTTTGCGTGCGTTTCAGGGGTGCCTTTTGCTGCGGAGGGAGTTATCGCTTCTCTCGGCGTTGGCATTTTCGGGGTTGGGGTTGTGCTCTGTGTGTTTGCTTGTTTGCCGTTTAAAGCCCGACTATTGTTCAGGATAAGCTCCGCCTGGGTGGGGAAATGGCATCCCACCACAGTTGCCGGCGAGGGGTAGAAAGGTTGCCAAACAGCTGCTGCTTTGTGTTTCCCTATCAGAAGTCTCTGGAGTAGGTTTGGGGCACGACGCATGGATGGAGAGAGGGATGGGGCACGGAAGAAGAAGGTGGCTTTGGAGGAGCGAATTGTCACCCACCCCGTGGCATGCAGTCAGCCTGCCTTTCTGCCTGCCAAACTTTTATGAATATTCCTTTTGTGGCAGGGGAAAGCTTAATGAATTCAGCCCAGTTTTCCAGGGAAAAGCAACCCGGCTTTAACAATGGTTTGAGAACTTAATCAATGAGAAAGGCAGGGGGAGGGGGAAGGGGAGGAGGCTCTGACACCATATCGGGGGATGTGGCTGCTTCTTGCAGAGTCAGGTAGGGGAGAGGTGGGCAGGGCAGAGCGCAGCTCCTGGGTGGCCAAGTTCCCGGAACTGTCCGTAGCTCTTACCTGTGCCCGCTGGAGCCCCCCCCCCCCACGTCGTGCCCCCATCTCACGGTCTGCCCAGACCTTGGCTGTGGGGCTTGAGGGGCGCCGTGCGGCCAGCCCCCCTCATCTGGCATTTTTAAGGATGTGTAAATATTTTGCTGAGGATAAGTGACATCAACAGAATGATATTCCGCAGAGCCCGGGTGTGCAGCGATGATAAATAGATACGGCCAAACAAAGTTTTGATAACTGCGGATTCTCATGGCTCGCTCTGTTTCATTTGGGTCTTTGTTTTTGTTGGTTTAGCATTATCTCTCATCCTCTGGTGTGATCCCTTTATTTAGCTGATTTTGGAAGCTTCTCTTTAGAACAGAGAGAAAAGCAGCCAGCAGGGAGAAAACAATTCTTAGCCTTGCATGCATCATGCAAGGTTTTCTGTGCTTTTCCCAGGGAATCTTTCCCAGCGTTGTCTAGATGTCCCTCTTCCTCCCTTTGAGTCTTCAGAATCGTTTGTTGATTGACCAAGAGACTTAGGATAACTTTGCAAATGTGTTGTGATGTGCTTTTGTTACAGTGGCGGGGTGGGCAGTGTGGGAGGAGGCTAATGAGGAGGCCAGTGGGTGGGAGCCACTCACCAGGGCAGCATTATGCCCCCACCCACTGTTTTGTTGTTTGCATTTTCTTCTCAAAGAGGAACATGGGGAGCTGTGCCACTTTCAGAAGTCGGGGGTGGGCTGGAACACGCAGAATCATAAACCGGGTGGCATCCCAATTTCTCTGCCCCTTAGAAGCCCTGCGAGGCCACCTACCCACCCCCGAATCCACCCCCGCCCCCCAGTAAATATCCTACGAACAGCCACTTGTGTCTCATGCTGACTGATGCCCACTAGAGACATTCCGAGGCAGCCCAGGCACGGTGAGCCAAGTCAGACTGGGACCTGGGGTACTGGCTGCTTTGGCACCAGCCCATGGTCCTTTATCATGCAGAGAAACACCAGACTTCCAGCTGTTGAGGTCTGACCAGGGAAAACCTGCCCATCTCAGGAAAAAAATGAGAAAACAGCTTTCCAGGTGATGCCAGTTGCCAGTGTAAGAACTTGGTCAGTGGGCAGTTGGGTAAGAACTAGAACATAAATAAAAAGTCTTGTAGCCAGAAAACAGCCTCTGAGACTGGGCCTCTGGAAAGCAAGAAAGAAAAAGAAAATGCGAGAGGTGTGTGATGAGGTGTTGGTGGGAGTGCTGGAGCACGAGGAGAACAAGATACAGCTCTAGCTGCAGCCGCCCGAAAGCTAGATGGGCCTGGCCTCCCCACCTCCATCGCATCCTCAATGGAGGTATTCTGTATGGGGCAGTCTCCACACACAGCGCGCTTGGAATGTACAATAAGAAAATAGCAAGTGTCTGTTCTCTGGCTCCTTCCCTAACCTTAGGTCTGGGGAGAGGAGGGTAGTGGAGGGAAATAAATTAGGAAAGGAATTAACATTTGTCATTGCCCTCTGTCTGCCAAACACTTCACCTGTGGGAAACCATGATGTGATGGAGGCATTATTTTACAGATAAGGAATCTGAGGCTCAGAGAAATTTCCAGTCTTGTATCTGAATCCAGATTTCGGTGGTTATGAATTAAAGGGGCAACATTTCCCTCTAACCCCTCTTCCAAGTCTCTGATTTATTTCTCCCAAAAGCCAGAGTCCTCAGCCCCTACATGTTCACAAACTGTGGTACCTAACTTGGGGGCGGGGAGCCTACCAGTGAGGCAGCCCAGTCAGCCAGGGTACGTGCTTATGTGCCAAGTAGATAGACCCCAGATAGTCCCAGACTATTTCAAATGGAAAGACTGTGCCTCGTCATCTTGGAATTTCCAATGCCCAACTGTTGCTTAATAAGTAAGAGTTGAGTGACTAAGTGATGGAGCTGATGGAGTGAATGGTGGTAGGGAGGCAGCTGTAAGTCATCGTCAAGGGAGACTCAGGGAGAAATCCAGAGTTTTGTTTTTTTGTGTTGTTTTTTTTTTTTAAAATCTAGAGATTTTTATGTTTGTTTGGGGATTTGGAGTTCCTGATGTCATGCTCCATATCTAGCCTGGGGTAGGTCCAAGTTGACAAGTTCATGTGATATGGACAAGAGCATTCCCATTTTTATAGATGACAAAATTGAGCAGGTTAAATAATTAGCCCGAGGCCCATGGTAGGACCAAAGGATGAGTAAAATATTTCTGACTCTTAACTGTCTCGAATAAATAAATTCTCAATAAAAATGAGATGAGGTCTTACTACACGAATGCATCATGTAAGCAAGTCCCTTACCCCCTTTCCAACCAGATGGTAGCCTTTATCCTGCTAGAAACTCTGGAGCCAGTGGGAGAACCAGGATTTGAATCCATATATAATTCTGCTGCTTCCCTGATCAGAATATGAGGGGGACCTCAAAGAATGAGGCTCTCAAGGAGGGGGGAAGATGGCTAATTGTACTCTCCCCTGTACAAAAGCCTGTGTGGGATTCTGAATTAAGCTTGATTTGGGGATCAGGGTGCCATCCTTGCTATAGAGTTGGCAGTTCTTGTCTTTGGAGAATGCCTCTGATTACCACTACTTCTTCCCACCTGTTCACCTGCCCAGATGCCCATCATCTCATTCTTTCTAGACTCAAGGCATCTCCTTTGTGACCCCAAATTTTTTCATGAGCCTCTCGAGTCTACTGCTCTCCTGTGTTTTTTTTTTTTTTTTTAAGATTTTATTTATTTATTTGAGACAGAGAGCATGAGAGGGAGGAGGGTCAGAGGGAGAAGCAGACTCCCTGCCGAGCAGGGAGTCCGATGCGGGACTCGATCCCGGGACTCCAGGATCATGACCTGAGCCGGAGGCAGTCGCTTAACCAACTGAGCCACCCAGGCGCCCTCTCCTGTGTTTTGACGGCAACTGGTGAGGAGGTGATTCTGATGGTCGCATTTGTACTTCTGGATTTTGCACATGACCCTTCTTCCCTCTCCAGCCAAGAACACACACACAAACACACATTCAGGCGTACGTAATTTGATCATGTTTCTTTACCTGCTTCACCAAACTAGATTGTAAACCCAGAATTGTTATTGAAAGAACGTACGTGACTTTGGTGATCTTCTGTCCTAGCCTCTGCCTTAAACAGATCAGAAGAGCTAAGATGGAGGTGGCTCAACCAGGAGATGCCTTGAGTAATGATTATGCTTGCTGGCTTTCCCACTGCTATGGGGCAGCCCCCCCCCACAATGTAGGCATGGGCCCTGGGCCTCTCATAAAAGTCCATTTTAATCTCCCCTTAGGGGTAGGGCTGGGCTTCTAGAATATCCCAATCCTTGCGATTCCCATTTCTGCTTTAATTCTTAGCTCCAATAACTTGATGGCTTACCCTGCTCTCACCTGTCACTCTTTCTTCCCACAGCTTTTTGGTCTTGCCCTGCACTAATAAAACCTTTTATGATGATGGAAATGTTCCATTATCTGCACCATCTCATACAGTAGCCACAAGTCACATGTGGCTATTAGTAGTCAGAAGGTGGCTAGTCCAGAGTAGGATGTGCTATAAGGATAACATACGCACGTAATTTCTAAGACTTAGTACAAAAAGAAAAGAATGCAAAATAGCTCATTAATAATTTTTATATCAATTACACGGTGCAATGATGTTTTGAATATGCTGGTCAAATAAGCTACAGTATTAAAGTGAATGTCACCTGTTTCTTTTAATCTTTTTCATGTGTCTACCAGAAACTTTTAAGTGACACAGATATTTCTTTTTTTTTTTTAAAGATTTTATTTATTTATTTGAGAGAGAGAGAATGAGAGACAGAGAGCATGAGAGGGAGGAGGGTCAGAGGGAGAAGCAGACTCCCCGCCGAGCAGAGAGCCCGATGCGGGACTCGATCCCGGGACTCCAGGATCATGACCCGAGCTGAAGGCAGTCGCTTAACCAACTGAGCCACCCAGGCGCCCCGACACAGATATTTCTATTAGGCAGTGCTTCTCTAGAACAAACTAACCACCAACGTGTGCCTTCAGCACAGGTTGTACTTCCAGATATTTTAGGGGGCATAAACACCTTCTGTTCTTCATGGCAGATGAGAGGCATGGGCTGACAACCTGGCCTCAGGCAACTTTGATTTTCAGTAGCTAAGATGTCATTTGGCGGGGGGTGCCTAATCAAGCCTATCCATGAGCATGTTTGCTCAGTCAAGTTCCCCTGAGGAATGTGGGCTCCTGAAACTTAATGGAGATGAGAGAGCAAGGCAGGGCTGGCTTGAACAAAACAACCTCTTTCCTTCCTCTCCTCCATCTCACCCACCCCAGGCTGGTGTCCTTGTCTAGTGGAGAGCTGTCTCTTGCCTGAGCAACTGATTTCCTTGACACCTTGTCTAAGAATATCCTTCCTGGGGATTTGTGCTTGGAGAATTCTGTCCCAAATAGACACCCTAATGGTGAGAGTGGGTTATTTGGGGCTGGAGCCAATCTTATAGAAAGGAAAGGGGAAAAGACATATTTATTTCCTGACAGCTTGATGAAAACAAGAGCAAGGAGGTACATACAGTTTCTGTGGAAGAGACAGCATAAATGCAAAGAAGCCCCATTTCACACACAGTGGTGCTGCAGAAGAGGAAACCTGACGAAGGGACAGTTCCTGGGGGTGGGGGAAGGCTCACAGCTGGCACTATGGTCTTCCTGGGCCCTTCCCTGGGAGCTGGCCATGGCCTAAGTAGATGGAAAGGGCTGGAATAATGAACTTGGGGCTGCAGTGATTTATAGGTCAGGCCCCGTGGCTCTGGCCCCTGAGGGGGCTGCCCCTACAGGGGACCCTTGGCTGACCTCCTTGAGCTCCTCGGAAGGAGTTGGTTTTGTTTCCCATGGCAGAAGCAGACTGTTTACTGGAGCACAGGAAGAATCCGACATTCTGGCGAAAAATAATTCATTAACAGCCAGGGTATTACCAGTTCCCCGGAAAAGCTCCTCCAGCTGCACTATAGCAACTGTTCTTGTTCAGCAGCAGATTCGGGCCTCACTGGCAGCCAAGACTGGGTGTGTTCAGGCGTTTTTGTCGTTGTTGTTATTTTTGCTTTTGTGCGTATGGCCACTTTTGCCTTATAATTCAGAGAAAGGA